CGGCCAGTTGGCACAGAGTACATCAGAGGGAAATCGTAAGGATTGCATGGAGTTTTTGTGGGCGTTATATCGGGTCAGGATGTAAATTCAAGTTTATATATGGAGAATTTCTAAGAAGGCGCTTGGAGCAAAGATCTATTTGAGTATTACTTATCATCTAAAGACAGAGGATCAGTTAGAATGACCATTCAGATTTTTGAGGATATGTTCAGAGATTGTGTCTTATAGTGGAAAGAAAGTTATGGAAGCGTCTACCTCTAGCAGAGTTTGCCTACAGTGACAGTTACAATTAAAATGTTGAGACAGCGCCACATGAAGCTTTTCACAATAATTCTGAACAAAAGTGGGGGAGCAACAAGTTGTAGAACCATCAATGGTTCAAGAAATGATAGAGCAAGTGGACATGCTCAAAGTTGGTTTTAGGAAGGCCATGATCGTCAGTGAAATTATGCACTTAAGCGATGTAAAGGACTTAGAGTTCAAATAAGAGATCGAGTAAACCTGAAAATAAGGACATTTCAGGGAGGAAATAACATTCGAAAGTTAAAGAAGTGTAAATCAAAATGTGTGGGAACAAATTATATTGTGGAGCAGGTTGGAGTAGTTGTTTACGGATGGAATTTATCAATAGAGTTACCAGATTTTTCAGGTTTTTATTTTTAAGATAGTCTTGACAGAGCCAGAGTTATGTTGCAGCAATCATCAGATGACCTCAGCGAGATTTGATTCATCATGTCAGTTAGTGCGTTATTGGGATCGTCAGATAAAAGCATTTCTGGGAATGTCGCCAGTGTCTGTCAGAGTTGTTGAGAGAGATAGGGTTCAGAAGAAGATCTCAGAAACCAAGCAGATTGATTATTTGGAGTTTTGTTACAATGAAATTGAGAAGTCACGGATGACCCGAATTCTTTATTAGTGGGGGAGAATTGTAACGACCCCAAATTTGATTATCGAACTTGTTAGCATGCTAAGACCTATTCCTCCCCTCTATAAATACCCAACTCCCACCCCATCAGCTCATTTTTGTTGAAAAATCAGAAGTTAGAGAGAGAGAAAGGAGAGAGAGAGAGAGAGAGAGAGAGAGAGAGAGAGAGGAGAAATGGAGAAACCCATGTGTCTGAGCCATCACCGGAGCTCGTCCGGAACACCACTCGTCGACACCAGGCAGAGCTCATCACCACCGTCCACCACGGCCAAAGTAACCGGAAATCGCAGTGAGTTGAAGCTTTGTTTTCTCCGTTTAGTAAATCGTCAATAACTCCTGAACCGTTGAGAATCTCGTGCATTCAAGGCCACCACCGTGTTCTACTCGTCGAGACGAAGCCGTAGACACCAAAAACGCCTCAATCAGAGCTCGAGCGAAGCCGCACGCGCCCCCGCAAGATTCACCGTCCGAGCGCGTGCGTTTCACGCGCCACCGCCGGTCGCCGGACCGCCGCCTAGCTCCGCCGCCGGACCGCCGTGTCGCTGCCGCCGGGCCGCCGTGTCGCCGCCGCCGGACCGCCGTCCCTCCGCCGCCAGGCCGCCGCCGGACCGCCGCCGGGCCACCATCGCCGCCGGTGACCGTCGCCGGTGACTCGCCGGTGACTCGGTCAACTCGGCCGAGTCAACTCAGCGAGTCAACTTGGTTGACTCGGTCAACCGGTTGGTTGACTGGTTTGACCCGGTTCAATCCGACTGCGATTTGGTTAAGGTAAACCGGTGGTTAAAATCAATTAAATTTTGGTTAGGAGTAAACCGATTTGTAATTGATTTGGATCCGGTTCAATTGAAATCGAATCCGGTTAAGGAAAACCGGTTGGTCTAATTCGATTTCAATTTGGTCAAGGGTTGGCCGACTTGGGTCAGAGTTGACCGGGTTGACCTTTGACCAGCGGGTTGACTTTTCCGTAATCGCCCGTTTTCGACCGTTCGAAGGTCATTCTGACTCGAAATTTCGATCTGATTTCAGATTTGGGATCTATTTGAGCAGCTGGAGTTCATAGATACCACTTTTCCCTAGTTACCAAGGTGAGGGTCTACTTCCGAATGATTCGTACGCGACTTAGAACTTTAAATAAATATAATTTATTTCTATTGTGTTCCGTCTGCGTGAAATCGAGTCTGTCTTTGCTTGATTAGTTTTAGGTTGCTTGCTTAAACCAGAACTAGGTGGTTAGAGGATTCAACATTGATTGCTTCACTTAATGTAATGAATAGCTAGAATTGTTTGGCCGGGTACAGAGACGGACTTCTGTAAGCCGGATTGTATGAGCGGNAATAGCTAGAATTGTTTGGCCGGGTACAGAGACGGACTTCTGTAAGCCGGATTGTATGAGCGGTTACGGCCAGCTATAGTCGGCCGGCTGGACCGTAACCTGGAAGCGTCGACAAATCGTCTACGGGCGGTGTCCGAGCACTATCTCGAGTTGTTATACCCCAGTGTGGGAAGTGTTGTTTTTGGCCCGTTAGTGGGCGACGAGTGCGCGCCTCGCTAGGACCATTGCTTGTTTGCTTGGGTACTTTAGGTACCGTGTTTGACATGCATTAGAATTAATTTATATTTATTTGGAGTGCTATGTTCGGGTCTACGGACTTCGGGGTAGCATCCCATACCTCACTGAGTGACTCCCCAGTCGCTCACCCCTCTTTCTTCCCATTTCAGGTGAGACAAGCTATAAGGTTATATTTGGACGGACTTGGTGCTATTGGACTTTTTATTCGGATTTTTATTTGGGCTTGGACGAGTGTAGTTGCGCTTATAAAATTTTATTTTACGAGATATTATTGGTGGCCCGCTGTCCCTAGAGAGAGGGAGACGGGTGTCACATTGTTATTTGAGGACGCGTCGGGGGTGACACGCTGTACTCCAGATAGGAGGTGACAGGTGTCACAATATCATTACACCGATTAAAAAAAGAAATATTATCACTGTCGGACACTTTTTATCTTTTTATTATCACTCTAGGACATATTGTTATACTAGAGCACTTTTTCAACAAGAAACATCAACTAATATTTTCTAGTTTCTTCCCAACCATCACGTTATCTAACTAGATCTAAAAAGTGGCGAGCTTAATTCTTAGCCATAGATTTCTTTATTTTTCTAGTGGCCAAAATTTAATGTCTCAGATCTAGTGACCGGCTTCTCGCCCCTACATTTCTCCTTTTTCTCTGTTGTTCTTCAATAAAAACTTAACTATTTTTTTCATATTTCCACCATAGAAAATGAAGAAACTGTTAAATCGCTGTATATAAACTAATTTTGGTTTAACTACTTAAATTTTGGATCTTAACTTCAGTAATTAATTCACCTTGTTGTTCACAAAAAAAGAAAGAAAAAAAAATCTCAGATTCGTAGTACTTGGGGTATAAAACATGTAACATGACTTAACCATAAAGAAATCTGAGTTGATTTTATAAAGGAATTGGTTGATTTTGTGAGAAATCAGTGAAAACATTTGGTGATAACAATGGTGACTACACAGAAAAAAAAAATTAGATCAAGAAAGAAGAAGATATAGAAATTACGATTATATTCTTACTTAACAAAATTACAAATGATAGATGTACATGAAATTTTTTCTAAAGTTATTGTACATGTGGATAATGAAATATAGGTGTACGCAATAGACCTAGTACACAGTGTTAATATTTGAATGGTTATGTATATAACAAATCATCATGTGTACATATGGACAATGAAACTTGTAAATGTATATAACAAATTTACTAAGTATACATATTAATCATTGCATGACAAGATACTCAAATTAACTGGTGTACATCTACAAATGAACGCAAATAAGACAATTCCTCACCTTATGATGCTATGCTTGCTTGCTGCACAAGATGCCACTCAATTATATATGTACACGATGTACATCTGGTATACATGCGGCTTGGTGTACATATGGATAATACAATACATGTACACGATGTATGTGACATGATTTATATGTAGACCGATCAAAGTATGTGTACATATATCTACGTTTACGTTTGTAAATTGATGTAACTCTCTGTGTAACCGTGTTGTACATCCTGATGGGTATCATGTGTATGTGTAAGTATTTGAACACCTGTGTATATACATATGGACATTTATGACAGATTGTACACGTTTACAATGTAAAATTAAAATTTAAGAGGATACAAATTCTTACTACATTGAACAAAACACCAAGATGCAAATTCTTACTACATTTGAGAGGATGCAAATTCTTAATATATATTCGTGTACACATGTACACAATCCTTGTTGTACATATGTACACACATGTTGGTGTACATAAATCACTGTTTTGTCAAAAACACCAAAACTAGCAACAAGGTTCGACCTTTTTCTCCATTGCATTATCATCAAAGAAATCCCAGATACGAAACCCTTATCCCAAAATCAAAATCTCAGATCCAAAACTCTTATTTCAAAATCAAAATTCTAGAATGGAAACCTTAATCCTTAAACCCAAAATCAAAACCTAAATCCCTAAACTTTCAAAATCCCAAATCTGAATCCTTAATCCTAAAATCGAAATCCAGAATTGAAAACGGAGGTGCTCGTTCCTCTCTTTCAAAACATGACCCTTCTTTGCAACAAAATGAGTGTGTGAGCAAAACCTTTTTCTCTGCTTTTTATTGTTGCTGAAGAAAAAAAAATTAATCTGACAAGAGTTTTATTCCTCGGACTCGTGTGAAAACAAAACTCAATTTCCCATATATTTCACGTCCACCAACCTAAACTATATTTTTTAAAAATACTTCAAATATAGTTTATCAGCCCAACTGGAAAGATTTACCAATTACTTTAATACCCTCTTTGGTTTCACTTTTTGAAGGATAAATGAGTCATTAACTTCTGGAAAGTACCTTAGTAGCACAATGTGTTCTCACATGATATAAAAAGACGTAATGTGACCTGCATTGAAAATAACTCTTAAAAAAACATTATGTGAATGAGAAAATTATAATTGCGCGCGTTAAATCAAACTGAAATAACGACTGTATCAGATCAGACAATAATGGGTCAGTCTGAAAGCCCATTAATAAATAGTTATATTTGGGCCTTTTGACGACATTTGGGCCCGTTTAAAGCATGAGAACCCTAATACGAGCTTAAACATCTTCTTTGTCTATCTGCGTCTCTCTCGGAGATTTGATTGCGAAGAAGAACGAGCTCGAGATTTTGATTCGAGGTGCAGATTGATTCCAGGTAATCCTCTTACTTAGAGTGTTTTTTTTCCTGTGTGTTCGTATTGTATAATGTAAGTATGAATCCACGCTTCTGGTTTTACTCTTAGGCATGCCTCCTCTCGATCTTCTCAGTGAACAGAGATTTTAGAAGTTTAGCGTTTAGGGTTTTACTAGTTTTTGCTGTTTCGTTCTGGGTTTATTCAAAGTTTATTCCTTTTGCAATGATTCAGCTTAGATCAGATCTTAGAAAATTAGGGTTTAGGGTTTTAACTAGGCCTTGCAGACTCGTTCTGGGTTTAGAAAATTAGGGTTTAAGCTTAGATCACATCTTTAGAACAGAACATATGTTATTAGTGTAAGACTAGTAAGTATTGTTATGTCTCTAACTGTTTTTTTTTTTATCTTTGTCTGTGTCAAAAGTGATAATGGAGAGTGAAACGAAGCCAACCTTCAGCAAATCGACAGGTCTTCCACGAAAGCGATTCTACAGAGCAAGAGCTCATAGCAACCCACTCAGTGACTCTCACTTCCCCATTCCCATTTCACCATCTCATGTCGACTTCTCACTTCACTTCCCCAAGTTCATTGGATCCAACAACGAAGTCTCCAAGAAGGTTGAGTTTGCAGACATTGGATGCGGTTTTGGTGGCCTTCTCATCTCCCTCGCAACGCTCTTCCCTGATACACTCATGATCGGTATGGAGTTGAGGGATAAAGTCACTGAATACGTTAAAGAACGTATCTTAGCCTTGAGGAAGACTAACTCGGGTGGACAGTATGAGAACATCTCTGTTGTTAGGACAAACTCGATGAAGTACATTCCGAATTACTTTGAGAAAGGACAGCTTTCTAAGATGTTTTTTCTGTTTCCGGATCCGCATTTCAAGGAGAAGAATCACAGGAGGAGAGTGATTAGTATTGATTTGCTTGATGAGTATGCTTACGTTCTTAGAGCTGGTGGGATTATTTACACGATTACTGATGTTGAGGAGCTTGGAGAGTGGATGAGGTCTTGCTTAGAGAAGCATCCTATGTTTGAGTCTTTGACAGAAAATGAGCTTGATTCGGATCCTGTTGTTGAGCTTCTGTGCAGTGCTACTGAGGAAGGTCAGAAAGTTGCAAGGAATGGTGGACAGACTTTCAGAGCTGTTTTCAGACGCATTGCATACGTTTCTTGAATTTAAGATCTTTCTTTTTTGTAGTGAACATCTTATTGTTGTTGTAATACCAGATTCTTTCTTAACTTCAAATTTTTGGGATAGTATTTACTGAAATTTTGAAATTAATGATCGTTTAAGAAGAGAGAATGTGTCCTTATATTAGCATCTTCTTGTACATAAACCAATCTGTAGAATGAAGTTTTAAAATGTAATGCCATAAACCAAGATGAAGATTGAAACTTTGAAAGTGATTCACGTTGATCTTACAATTAAAGGCTTTTCAAGTTTCTTACAAGAATGTATATTGGGGAATAGCCCTATGTGACCCTAAAGCCAAAATCAGACATCAAAACCTCAATGTAAATATAATCTATGAGGGACTGAAAGAAAACATATCAATTGATTCCTATTCTTAAGAATAGAAAAAAAAAGAGGAATACCAGTTGAGGTTTCCTCGCATGTTAAAGATGTGGCATTCTGTAATCTCTGTGACTTCATCACCAACATAACACCGACATAACTCAAGTGTTTCTTCATGAGTCGAGATGGATATCTTAATGGTTTGACCATATTCGAAAGAAACTGAACATAGCTCAAGTGTCCCCATCAGAATAACTACCGGAGAGGCAATGATGATAAACTTGCTCTGTTTCTTGTTTCAAGTAGCACCACACTAATGATGTTCTGTATGCATGTGATTTAGCCTGCTCGGACAAATAACTCCGCCGCCACTCCTTGTCATTAACCATTTTTTGTAAGCTAAATACGCCTCGTCTAGTCGCCTCAACTTGGTGTATTTCCTCATAAGTATCCAAAACGGAACATGATCCAATATTATACCAGAAGCCTGCAGTCTCAACAAAAGGTCTTCGGCCTCCTTCAACCGACCCTTCCAACAGAGCCCTCTAATCAGCTCGGTATAAGTAATCATATCAGGTTGACATCTCCTTTTCATCATTTCATCATACAACTGAAAAGCCAACCTCAAGTGACCAACTGTACAAGCAGCACCTATAAGCAGATTATACGTAGTAGTATCCGGGTAGACATTGGTCGATCGCATTTGATCTTTTAACTGGCATGCATCGATGAATCTTCCCTCTTTCACATACCCATAAATCAAAGCATTGTTTGTGTAAATATTTGGCTTAACGCCGTACGAAAGCATTAGATTTCGAACAGATAAAGAGCTGCTAGTATCTCCACATCTTCCATAACCATCAATCACCACATTCCATAGCAGAACCTCCGGAAGCAGAGAACTCTTTAGCATGGTTAAAAGAAACTCGTTCGCCCTGGCCACATCTCCGTTCATACATAGACCTTGAATGATAACTTTGTATGAGATCTGATCAGGAGCAACACCAGCTCGTTGCATGGTACCATGGACACCACATGCCTCATCAAACTTTCCCTCTTTGCACAAGGCGCTTATGAGAGTATTGTAAGTGAAAACATCAGGACTAACTCCTTTCTTCACCATGTCACACATGAGCCCATAAGCATCTACCATGTTACCACTCGAACATAAACCACGAATAAGGACATTGTACATAACTGAATCAGCAGGGACATTCTTCTCCGACATCTCCTTCCAAACCCCAAGGGCTTGAACCACATCCCCATTCTTAAAACAACTATCCATCAAAATAGTACAGGTGACTATATCCAATGGCGCATCCGCCTGCTGGCTACTATCTAATATCTCTTCAAGAAGCTTAGTGTTTCCCATAAGACCTTTCTGACAAAGCGCATGCACTAGTATATTGCAAGTCACTCTATTTGGCTTAACACCATATCTATCCATAGTGCTGAAGAGATACAGAGCTTTATCTACATTGTTAACACTGCACAGACCCTTGATAAAAGTGTTATAAGAAACACAATTAGGAGAAGGACCCATCTCCCACATCTCTTTAACAAGCCCATCCGCCTTGTCGATACTACCTAACTTACACAACCCATTTAAAAGATGATTGTGTGTGACCAAACCTGGAATAAACCCACTCTGCATCAACTTCTTCCGTAGCCAGAGAGCAGCGTCCAACTTCCCTTGTAAACAAAGATCCCTCATTATAGACGCGTGGATAGCTATAGATTCATCGTATCCGAGGCTCTTCGTCCGACATACACTCTCCCTACAAGAATCACAAGTTTTTTCAGACTTTAGTCCTCAAATAATAAATAGCCAGAGAGAGTGCAGTGGTTCAAAACTACAAAACCTTAAGGAAGCGAGACGATCCAAACTACTTTTCAAGATTGAGTCCAGAGCATTGAAGTTAGCTTCAGGGTCTCTCTTATAATCATAACCCTTTCTATCAGAAACCCAATTCTCAGTGGACAAACAGGAACGATCCCCAGGAGTGAATTGAGGACGCTCAATACAAGAAAGACGCATTTCAAAGTCTCTGCAAATATCCCATTAAAACCAGAGAATCAGTAACAAACAGAATGTCATGGAAGGAAAAGTAATGAATTGAATCAAAAAAAAAAAAAATCAAGAAACCTTAAGTTGGTGATAACAGGAGCAAGGATCCTAGAGACATTGTCGAA